GCCCCAGCTGCCTGTTCTCCCCTGGTTGACAGAGGAGGCCGGAGCTCCACGCAGCAGCCCTCTTTCCGCAGACCCTGCCGCCTTGCTTCTCTCTAGGCCCTCAGCCCAGTCCCTCTTTCCCCCTGGAGAATGTGTGGTTTGCATTTCCTGCCTTTTCACTTGCCTTCTTTAAGCCCCTGTTTGGTTCCCTGGTCAGTTGATTTTTTTTTTAAGATTTTATTTATTCATTTGACAGAGAAAGACACAGCGAGAGAGGGAACACAAGCAGGGGGAGTGGGAGAGGGAGAAGAAGGCTTCCCGTGGAGCAGGGAGCCCGATGTAGGGCTCGATCCCAGGACCCTGGGATCATGACCTGAGCCAAAGGCAGACGCCCAGCCGACTGAGCCATCCAGGCGCCCCATCAGTTGATTTTTGACCTGGACAGATTGGCATTTGTTCATGCAAGAGTGCAGTCCACGTTCAACTCCCATGGCCCTGCTCTTTGGAAGCTTTAAGGACCCAGCTCTTAAGAGCGACGGGGCCTTGGGAAGGGGCCCTCCCTGGCCCTCCTCCGGGACCCACCGCTGGAGGGGAGCAGAGCCCAGCTGGTGTGTGTTGGCTGGTGGTGAGCACACAGCTTGGCAGAGGAGCCCCCTGGATGGAGAGGGTTCAGGAAGCCAGGGACAGGGCTTGGCTGGCGAGTCAGGGAGCTGGTGGCTCAGGCGGAAGAGATTTGGAGAACCTAAGCTGGCTCCGTTGGCAGCTTCCCGACGACGTGTGGCCCTTGCTCTCTCACCACCTGTCCCGAGGCTGCTCTGTGTGGGCGGAGGACGGCTGTGCCTTACACAGCGCTAGCCGCAACCTGGGCAGAAGCCCGAGTTCTCTCCCGGAGCCACCCCTGTGGACAGGCTCAGCCGTGATCGTAGCAGATCTCAGCATGGATGAGGACCCTGCCAGCCCGCGTTCACAGCCCGACGCCTCGGGAGGTGACGTCTGTCTGCTCGCCTTCCCTGAAGCTCAGGAGTAAGAGGCAGGGGACAGGGAGTGCCTTCCTGCTCCGGCTCCAGGGGACTGACTGGGGTGGGGCTCACTTCCCACCTTCCGGGCTGGAGCAGCCACCAGCTTCCTGCCTCAGGACCCTTCTCTAGCCGCACCCCCCCTCGCCTGCCACCTGTGCCTCCCCACTGCAGCTTGTCGGAGTCACCTTCCGCTGGAGGGACTCAGGGTGGTCCCTCCAGCCTGTCTCAGCCACTTTGGGGACCTATGAGAAAACACAGGCCCAAGGAAGATAACTGACTGGTTCCTGGCCTTCCAGTAAGTTTGCATAAAAGCCAGACTTCCGTGGGTCTTTTCTCTCCTCCTTGGGTCTTCTTTCCCCCTTCTTTACTGCCCCCCAAATCCTTCCCTCCGCCCTACGGCGGAAGGCGATCCAATACAGAGACATTACTATGGAACGAAGGGTTAGTAGACCAGCACAGTTAGCTGTGTGACCTTTCCTCAGTCTCTTAACCTCCCTTGTTTCTCTTCTGTCCAACAGGAAAAACAGTGATGAGAGTTAGAAAGAACAGAACAGAATAGCCAGAGTAACAGAATAGTGGGTGGTTGCAGAGTTGTTTTGGCTAAAGTTTTAAAAACAAAAGAAGAGGAATAGAACTCAAATGGGTCACAGGAAAGATAAATGTTAGCTTGGGGGTTCTCTTGCCAGTGATCTCCAAGGACCTTGCTCCCCTAGGAAGTGACCCAAAGGGGACAAAAGGGGTTCATTCCCTAAAGATTGATTTCAGCCTGTGAGGAACTGCTGCATCTTCTCTCCACCTGTGCTGTCTTCTCCTGGATGTCCCCACCTGTCCTCACCATAAAGGAGATGAAGGTTTGAGCCTGAGAGCATAGGACCCCTTCTTTCTCCTCAACCCCCCCACTCCCCAGCTGTACACATTCTGGGCTTAGAAGCTTCTGTGGGGGTGTCTGGTAGAGTAGAGGGGCCACCCCCTCCTCACTGTGTCCAGCTGCCCCTGCAGGCCGTCGTAGATCCCAAATGACCAACTGGATGCCCAGTATACCCAAGTCAGGTCTCTCCTGGTCAGGGAGACCCCCATCACTTCCATTTCTTGAAGCTTCTAGAGTATTCTTTTAAACAATAATAAGCAGGGCTAATGAATTGTAGTGTGATCTAAACATTTACTTGGAACAGAGTAATGCTTTTCATACCCACGTGGCAGTGTGATTGTACTATTCACGAGATAACAAATTCTGAAAAACAACAAAACAAACCGTAGAGCACTGAAGGCTGGATGTGGGACGCTGGTTTACACTTGTGTGATGAGTGTGTCATTTTTGACCCTGTCTGTGTTTCCCTGGATCGTATGCTAGCCTCATTTGGGAGAAGGTCAAGACTAGATTTGAGGAGGCCCTTGGGTGATGGTGGCATCCTAGTGCTGGGCCTGGCCATGGGGTCTCCACACGTGGCTCTTTAGGGTCTGGATGTGCCCAGCGCTCTCTCCCAAGGTGGCCCACAGTGGAGAGCAGGTGCTTTGATGTGCTGCATGGGATAGAGAGACCACTGCAGTCAAGGTCATGGGCTTGGTCTCTGTGGCTACAGCCAACACGCTGACCCCTGCTGGTCATCATAGAAATCGGTGACATTGGTCTGGAACAGTAGTTCTCAAACCATGAGCCAGGGATCCCTGGGGGGTCTCTGACACCTTTCAGGAAATCCACAGGGTCAAAACTATTTCATAATAATAATAAAATGCTGTATCCCATTCTCTCACAAATGTACAGAAAAGGAAAAGTTCATTAATACGGTTTCAGATGCCACATTTGAACTAATCTTTAAGAAACTACCATCTGTTGAATCTGGTACACTATGAAAGAAGAATATCCACAATTATCTGGAAAGACTGTTAAAATACTCCAACTGTAGTACATATTTGTGAGAGTCTAGATGTCCGTCATACACTTGAACAAAACCACATAATCACAAAAGATTGAACAAAAAATCGGATATGGACATCCAGCTGACTTTTGTGAACCAAACATTACACAGATTTTTAAAAATGTAAAACAAAGCCATTATTTTCACTAGTTGTTTTTTGTTCTGAAAACATAGCTTTCTAAATAAAATATATGAACATCTAATGGGTTTATTGTTTTTTGATGAATTAAAATTTAATTTTTTTCCCCCAGTTTTAATTTCTAATGTAGTAAGTATCAATAGATACAGCCCACATAATTTGCTGTTCTCAATAATTTTTATTACCGTTTAATGAGATACAGTTCATATACCATAAAATTCACATTCTAGAAGGATATTCATTGGTCTTAGTTTATTCTCAAAGTTGTGCAACCATCACCATGACCTAATTCCAGAATATTTTCATGACCCCAAAAAGAAACCCTGAACCCATTAGCGGAAACTCATTCCTTCTTCCCGCCACCCGCACTCCAGCCCCTGACAACCATTAATCTACTTGCTGTCTCTGTGGATTTTCCTGTTCCAGACATTTCTTGTAAATGGAATAATACAACATGTGATCTTTTGTGACTGGCTTTTTTTTTTTTTTTTTTTAAAGTAGACTCCACACCCACATGGGGCCCAGTGTGGAGCTTGAACTCACGACCCTGAGATCAAGACCTGGGCTGAAATCAAGAGCCGGACACTTAACTGACTGAGCCACCCAGGTGCCCCTTTTGTGCCTGGCTTCTTACACTTAGCATAATGTTTTCAAGGTTCAGCCACATTATAGCCTTTATCAGTACTTCACTTTTAATGGCCAAATAATATTCCATTGTGTATGGATAATGCCAAATGATCTACATTTATCAGTTGGCAGATACTGGAATTATTTCCACTTTTAGCTGTTATGAATAATACTGCTATGAACATCCATAAGCAAGCTTGTTTTTTTTAAAGATCTTATTTATTTGAGAGAGGGAGAGCTTAAGCAGGGGGAGCGGCAGGCAGCGGGAGAGGGAGAAGCAGGCTTCCCGCGGAGCAGGGAGCCCGATGCTGGCCTCGATCCCAGGACCCTGAGATCAGGACCTGAGCTGAAGGCAGACACTTAACTGACTGAGCCACCCAGGTGCCCCACCAACCTCAGTAGTTTTTAAGGGTATGAAGGATTCCTGTGTTTGAGATCTGTTGGTCTAGATCGGTTTGGGCCAGAGCAGTGGATAACTCAGTGCAGCCCCTCATCTTTGCTCTGGGATTGAGTTACCATCCCCCTGCTCTCCCCACAACACACACACACACACACACACACACACACACACACTCCAGCATACATGTGCAGTACCCTTATGCTAGATCATCAAAGAGCTGGTCATAGCCTTGGTGGCAAGGAGAAAGGCAGCTGAGCTGGACCACGCACGTTAAAGCACCAGGAAGTTCTGGAGCAGGGTGGCCTCCCTGCAGATTCCCGAAGGTGCCATCTCCCTTGTAGTCCTGGCCGTAGCTGTGGCTCCCCATCCTCCTTCTGGCTCTGGGGAGCCCTGTGAGGGTTGGCAGAACATGTTGGGGAGCAGCACCTGTGAAGGTGGCCACGTTTAGCTACACCCGTGGGCCTGGAGCAGCCACAGTGGGCCCCCCAGCTTTGGGAGGGGGCATACGGCTCCCGCGGGCTGTCTAGCTCTGTGCCCCCCGGCCCCAGCCCCTGCTACTCGGCACCGTGCTCAGTACGGTAGGGGCTGTACTTGGGAGAGGCAGGAGTCAAGTACCCTCCACTTGTGCTTCTTCCCCCCCGCCCTTCTGCTTCTAACTTCTGATGTCCTGCCAGTCGTGTCCAATCTGGTCACTTAGCTGCATGAGCCACCTAGTCAACCCTCCCCAAATTATGATCCTTTCGAAAGAGGAGCTTTGAGGGAACAGTATTTAGCCAGAGGATTCTGATGGCAAGGCATCTGCAGGCGGCCAGATACAGGGATGCGCCGGAAGTGCCAGTGCTTGGTGCCTGAGGGACCCTGGCTGCTGTCTGCACCCCAGCTGATGATGTGCTCTTGATTTTTCCCCCTTCTCACCTCAGATGTGACTCCTGGCCCTGGCTGGGCACTCGGAGCCATGGCCGACACCATCTTCGGCAGTGGGAACGACCAGTGGGTTTGCCCCAACGATCGGCAGCTTGCTCTGCGAGCCAAGTGAGTATCTCCAAGGCCCTACCAGGCCTGCCTTCCCTCCCTGTCCCCACTCCCCTCCTTCTGGGGGCAAGATTCAATATCAGGGACCCAGAAAGAGAAGTTTGGAGACAAGTGCATGTCTGATGCACACCACACTCCAGGCCCCGAGGTCGGCACTGAGCAGCCATTCACTCATTTGCCATGTGGAATGTACCTTCATTTCTCAGAGGAGGAAAGGGAGGCTGCGCTCCTTGCCCATGGCAAGCTGGGGACCCACGCCCAGGCCCCTCTGATTGCCAGGCCTACAGCAGGCTGCAGGGGGCCAAACCACTTCCTCTGCCTTCTCTGGTGAGAGTACGTCACTGAGCCTTCAGTCCCTGAGCCCCTGGAGGCGGGAAGCCTTTGATACCTGGATGCCCGCTTCACGGCGAGGGCCTCACACTGACAGGACAGAGCAAAGGCTGATCAAGTGAACCAAGAGTTGCCCGCCGGGCTGAAACACAGCCAGCCTCGAAGTGTCCCCAGTCTCCTCCAGTACACTGCCAGGGTCTCTCTGGTTCTGGTTTGTCCCCTTCAGGTCCCAGCTTTCCTGTTATCCCTCAGCCTGGTGACCCCTCAGACCCAGTTAGGTCAGTCCATCTCTACCCACGTCCCCCCTGTGGCCGGAGACCAGGGCTTCCCAGATGCCTCTCCTGCCTTCCAGGCTTCCCTCTCCATCCAGGGATTTGGAGGTCCCTGGTGTCTGATAAGCCCCCAAGAAGGCCTCTTCATCTGTCAAACCACGCCAATTATGGGAGCCAGCATTTCCCAAATGGGACCAAGTTCAAGAAATTTGCAGTTAGATGTTACAGGCCTGCAGGGGGACAGAGCTGAAACATCAAAGAGGGATAGAAAAATTAATCCGAAACGCCCAAGAGTGGAGTCCTGCATGATTTGCAGGAATCTCTGTGCAACAGTTAATTTGTCCCTCTCACTGGGATGGCTCTGCTCCTTTCAGCCCCCTGCACAGCCCCCTGCACAGCCCCCACGGGGGAGAGAGCAGGGATGAAGCCAGCAGCTCTCCTTCTCTGCTCCGATGCCAGGCGAGATGATGGGTCCTCCCTGGCAGGATACAAGGAGCTGGGGAAAGCTGTGCTCTCGGTGTGAGCCCTGGTGACCCCTCTGGCATTTCCTTCAGTTCTCCCTGACCTCGTCTTGCACTCAGCAGCAGCCCGAAGCTGTTGTAGCATCTTTTAGTAGAACAGATGCTTTTATCTCCTCCCCAGGGTATGCTGCCTTGTAATGCCAGGCTCCGTAAAGGAGAATACTACAAAGCTTGCATCCGGGTCCTGTGCCCTGAGGGTTCCTCTGAGAGGCCTGGGGAAGTTGCCTTCCCTGGCTTCAGCTCAGTTCTGTCCTCCAGCACCACCAGACATTTTCTAAACCCCTACTATGTGCCAGGTGCTGATTGCACAGCAGTGAGCAAGACCAACGTGGTCCTTTTTCTTAAGGCACTGGTGGGGAGAGGTGAGCATTATACATATAATTACCCATGTGCAGCTACTTCGACAGCAGAAACAGGCAGTGGGGTGAAGGCAGGTGCTAACTTAATCTGGGGATTTGGAGAGGCTTCCCTGAGAATGTGATGTTTATGTTGAGTCCTGGAGTAGGGATAAATGTTAGATGGAAATAGGGGAAGGGAGCTTCTAAGCAGAAGGTACAGCTTGTGCAAAGGCCCTGAGGTAGAAGGAACAGGACATGTAGAGGGCCTGACAGGAGGCCAGTGTGGATTGAGTACAGAGTGAGGTGGTGAGTGAGGTGAACGGAAGCTGGGGAAGTGGGCAGGAGCCAGATGGTGTAGGGCTGGTCCTCCAGACTCACATTCTAGAGAGGAGACAGAGGGTCCTACTTGGCCTTGAAATAATGCTTAGGCCCAAGATGGAGCTATGCCTGAACTTTGTGGGAAATCTGAGAATGGACTCAACCCATCTTGGAGGGGATCTTTACCAGGAATCTAAGAGAAGTCCTTTTTTTTTTTTTTTTTTTAAGATTTTATTTATTTTGGGGGGGAGCGTGAGCAGGGGAGGGGGAGGAAGAGGGAGAGGGAGAGGGAGGCAGGGCTGTCAGCAGCCGCTGACCATGGACTCCTTGGGTCAGGAGGCTGGCCAGCCATCTAACCGCTCTCAGCTTCCTCTGCTGAAAAAAGGGGAGGCTGAAGGGGAGGCCGGCCTTAAGTGATCACAGGAGGGTCTGGTGCGAGGAGGTCTGCTGTGCTCTGGGCTGGCGCCAGGAGCTAGCTGGGTAGGAGTTGCACCCTCCAGGATGGATGGCAGTGCCAGTGCCATGCCCTCCTATTTCTGTGTCCTGGGCCTGCCTTTTTCCACGGGGAGACCTGAGCTTAGGGACCCTGTTTTCCAGTTCTCCTTCCCTGGCCCAGGGAGTCACACACGGAGGGTGTCCTGGCCCATCCCTGACTACCTGAATCCCTGCAATGCTCAGGTGGAGAAAACCTGCAGCTCGGGGTGGGCGAGTGTTGCTTCAGGGCCTAAACCGCTTGAGTCTGCTCAGTACACAGAGGAAAGGTGGGCGTGTGCCCCTGGCCACTCCAAGGACTCCCAGCTCTGCCCCTTTCCCTCTGTTTGCTTCCCCCGGCTCTGTGAGGACCACTTCAAAAAGCGTTGGTCTAGGGCAGTGCTTCTTTTCAACTTGGAGACATAGGCAGGCTAGAAGTCTGGAGCCCCTCAGTACGGCACCTTACTTCATGTCTCTGCACCTTTGTACATGCGGCTTTTCTTTGCCTGAACACCATCTCCTTCTTTCTGTGGGGGAAACACCTGTTCATCTTGCAAAACCCTGCAGGAGCACTGCTTCTTTGGTCAAGCCATTCCTGATGGTTCTGCCCCTGAGAATTACAGTAATCATCATTAAGTACCACTGATTAAGCAATTGGGCATTCGCTGTATGCAGAGCACTGGGTATACCCTGTCTCATTTACTCCGCGCGGCATCCCTTAAAGGGACAGAGCCGGAAATCCGGGATGAGCAGCTGCCCACATTCTCACGGCTGGGAAGGGCCCGAGCCAAAGGTAAGACCATCCAGTGGACTCCGGTCTGAGCCCTTCATCTTAACCAGCCTGCTGGACTTACAGAGGAAGGACATGGTCTTTAGCTCCCCTGACGTACACCGTGTCGATAGTTGGCTGCAGTAGCCCAGATGGGGCAGTGAAGTGAGACCACCGGTGTCCATCTGTGTCAGGGAGCACCAGGAAGGCGTCCACAGCCTCATCCTCTTGCCCTGTGTCCTGCATCAGAGACTCTTGCTTGCTGTCCCTTCTTTAGGGAAGCCCAGCAGCATGTCCCCAACACCTACCGAGCCTGGCCTCGAAGGGGACGCCCAGTAAATAGGTCTTGAACGAAATAGCTCTTCTCGTTTTTCATTAAGTAAATATTGGTGTCATTGATTGGGCATCTTGTGTCCCCAAGCCTCTTGTCATTCTTCGAGGTGGTGACTTTGCCCTCTGGCCCGCCTCCGTGTTCCTAGCACCTGGCGCAGAATGTCTCAGACAGGCTGGGGCCCTGGGCAGCGAGTTGGGGCTTGGTCTGCCACTGCCACTCGCATTCCCTCCACAAAGATAGGAAGGGCGTGAGTTCTTCCCCTCAGCCCTCAGGCGCAGCCTCGGGAGGTGGCGCTCCTGCCACCTCCCCTCCTTCCGTGGGGCGGCACTGCCCTCCTGCCCTCAAACCCTCTCGTTTGCAAACTGCTGTGGGCATCTCCTTTCATACTCAGGGTTCGTTTCTGATCTAATTACCATTCTTTCCTATCCCACAGTAAGCTCCATTTCACTTAGATGCCGCAGAGCTCAGTCTTTTTTTTTTTTTTTTTTTAAAGATTTTATTTATTTGACAGAGAGAGAGAGCACAAGGGAGGAGCGGGGCCCGGGGAGAGGGAGAAGCAGGCTCCTCACTGAGCAGGGAGCCCGATGTTGGGCTCGATCCCAGGACCCCGGGATCATGACCCGAGCCGAAGGCAGATGCTTCACCGACTGAGCCACCCAGGCGCCCCAGATCTCAGTCTTGCTGATCTTCCGTGCTCTTCCCTCACAGCCCCACGTGCTGTGGCAGTGGCCTTCTCTGTCCAGAGGATCTCACCCCGTGCTCCTGCCTCCCACCATGCTAAGGTGGCACCGCTGGTCTTTGTGGGGCCCGGTGGCTGGCAGGTGTCAGAACCAGCACTCAAAACATCTGCCCTGTTCCCTGAACCCCTCTTCTGGACACGCAGCACCTGGGCTGTCCCCAGACTGTTCTGTGGGGGGGGGGGGGGGGGGCTTCGGGATATGGTGGGGCCACCTGAGTTTGCACTGCGGTGGCCTCAGGGCTGGCTGTGCTTTCTCCAGGCTGCAGACGGGCTGGTCTGTGCACACCTACCAGACAGAGAAGCAGAGGAAGAGCCAGTGCCTCAGCCCAGCCGAGGTGGAGGCCATCCTGCAGGTCATCCAGAGGGCAGAGCGGCTGGATGTCATGGAGCAGCAGAGAATCGGGTAAGGGCTGCTTCTGAGCTGGGGCGGGAGGGAGCAAGATCCTTGAGAGGGAAACAAAGTCACTTAGTGTCAGATCGGGGGCGCTGAGAGTGGCACCCTGGGTCCTAGCGCTGGCTTTCACCGCAGGGAGTGAGTCCGCTCTGCCCGAACACCCCTGGGGTGTAGATGCATAACCCAGCCCCGCAAAGCCTCTGTACACTCCTCTGTGAGAAGGAGTTAGTGGCTCCTGCGTGGGCCCGAGGCCGTGGGGGGACGAATGAGCATCGTGAGGGGCTCTTCAGCTCCACACACGTGAGGGTCAGCCGTGGTCCAGCTGCAGGAGGGATTTGGTGGAAGTTGAGCGTGGACGGTCCTGCCCCAGCAAGGACTCCAAGAAGAGATGCTCTCCAGCTTGTTCTAAGCTCTTCTCCTGGCCTCCAGCATCCTGAGCTGACCCCTATACAGCCCTCAGGCAGTTTGGTTGTGTCTCTTTTTGTTTGTTGAGTTACCAAAGCAATTCATACCTCCTAGAAAATTGGAAAGACACAGAAAAACACAAGTAGGAAAACACAAATGCAGTGCATCGCATCGGACAGGATTTAATTTGATTCTGATCTCCTTGTTCTTCTTCTGTTCATCTTTTTCATTAAGTATGTGATCATTTAAAAAGTCAGACTCTGTAGAAATGCACAGTTCTAAAAGCGAAAGCACCACTACTAGGACCCTGCTGTCCAGTTTGTTAAATGTGCCTCAATAATACGGACATATCATTACTGTCATTTTATTACAAAAAGGGTGTATATCAGACAGACCAGTTGTCTTTAGCTTTTTTTCCCCCACATAGGCTGCCTGACCCTGCCCTCTCCTAGGGTCCTGTGAGGAGCTGTGCAGCCCCACATTCATGACTGACAAGCCAGCGCCGCATCCCTCAGGCTCCCCCAGGCGGGCATGCTGGGAGCCGGTGGGGGTGTTTCATGTGGGCTCCCTGATGCAGCGGGAAGTGTTTGCACCCCCCCATCCATCTGTCTGGCTCCCACTGTGAACACTGGGTTTGACAGAGATGTGGAATGACCCCAGAAGGCGGTGCCTCAGACTAACTGTCTCAGAAGGAGGAGGTGTATCCTGTTTCCATGAGTTAGAAGGGTTGTACTCACGGGGCCCCTATGAACAAGCAGTTCAGGCCAGAGCTCAAGTTGGGTTTATTCCCGGGGCCTTGCAGTTTCCTGGGTGAGGGACAGTGTGGAAGGGACCTCTGCGGACGTCAGAGGGCATGTAGGTAGAGGCGGCTCCCCCTTGGCCCCCAGGCAGAGCCTGATCACCTCCCGGGAGAGTGGGGGGTGCGGATCTCGGTGTTGGGCCCTGGGCTCTACCTCTTAGGAACTGTGTAATGCTGGTGGGAAGTGACTTTATATCTCTGAGCCTCAGTCTTGTTATTGTTAAAATGGGGGAAAATAGCATCCTCCTCCTGGGAGGTTGAGATAATGTACCTGCACTCTGTCCCGTGTTCCTTCATTCAAGAATTTTCCCTGAGTGTCCCCTGGGGACTGGAGACACAGTGGCCATCAAAACAGAAGTGGCCACCAGTTTTGTGAGGGTTGAAGTGTTGCTATTAAAAGAGGGAGTCACAGTGGGCTGAGGGGCCATGGGACCCTGAGGGGAATCACCTATCCGAGGCTTAACAGGGTTCAGGGATGGCTCCTGGACACTTGGCATCAGAGCTTAAAGAAAAGCTCTTTTTCTTTCTTCCTCCAGCTTCTTCATCCACACACTTGCTCAGACCAAAACCTCTACATCATCCCAGATCTCTCTCTCTTACCTCCTGTACCCCATTTCCATGGATGCTGCCTCAGTGCCCCTTTGCTGGGCCTCCCAGCATCTCCTGCTGGCTTCCTCACCTGCACTCCCTTGTTGTAGTCCTGGCTTTCCACAGCGGCTGGAGTAAGCTTTTAAAACTGCCACTTGGGGGGCGCCTGGCTGGCTCAGTCAGAAGAGCCCGTGACTCTTTATCTTGGGGTCCTGAGTTTGAGCCCCACATCAGGTGTAGAGATTACTTAAATGATTAAATAAGTAAGTAAGTAAGTAAATAATACTTTTTTTTTTTTTTAAGATTTTTTTTTTTTAAAGATTTTATTTATTTATTTGAGAGAGAGAATGAGATAGAGAGCATGAGAGGGGGGAGGGTCAGAGAGAGAGGCAGACTCCCTGCTGAGCAGGGAGCCCGATGCGGGACTCGATCCCGGGACTCCAGGATCATGACCTGAGCCAAAGGCAGTCGCTTAACCAACTGAGCCACCCAGGCGCCCGTAAATAATACTTTTAAAAGTTAAAATAAAAAAAATTAAAATGTCCCTTAGATCAAATCCCTCCTCTACGTAAAACTCTTCAGTGGCTTCATGTTGATCTTAGAAAATAATCCAAATTCCATTTTGTGTCCTACAAAACCCATGGAATCTGTCCCCTCCTCGCCCCTCCAGGGAATGGCCACACTGGCCTCCCTGCTGTTCTAATGTGCCAAGGCCTTTGTCTTTGCCTCCCCCACCAGCTGTTCCCTCTGCCTGGAGTTCCCCCCCCCCCCCAAGCCCTGCTCTTCACCTGGTTTGGCCTTGTCCTCCTTTAGCTCTCAGTTCACACGTTCTCAGAGAGGCCTTCACTGATCACCACCTGATATGCTGCCTCTCAGTCTTCTCCCCACGCACTTACTTGATTTCATAGCACTCCCCCTGTCTGAACTCAGTTTGCTTGTTGACTTTTTATGGACTTTATCTTTATTGAACATATGTTCTATGAGAGCAGGGACCATGTCTGTCTCTGGCTTGTTTGCTACAATATCCCCAGGGTGTGGCACATCGTAGGTACTCAATTAATAGTTGGGGAGCGAATGAATGATTAGGAGGTAGCCTGGAAAAGGGGTGGGGCAGGGAACAGTATCCCAGGTGAGGGAACAGCACATGGGCCAAGGTATAGCGCTGGGGCCCCATGGCAGCCATACCTGGGCAGTGCTCGGGTTGGAGACAGGAAACACATTCCATCTGACTCTGTGTCCTGTGCTGCAGACGACTGGTGGAGCGGCTGGAGACCATGAGGCGGAACGTGATGGGGAATGGCCTTTCCCAGTGTCTGCTCTGTGGGGAGGTGCTGGGCTTCCTGGGAAGTTCATCAGTGTTCTGCAAAGACTGCAGGAAGGTAAGGCCCTGCGCTGGCTACCCAATCTGGACCTGCTCTGCGGCTTTGCACCCTGGCTCCCAGCAGTGTGTGTTGTATGTGTCTGTGTGTGTCCTTGTGTGTCCTTGTGTGCATGTGTGTGCATACGGTATCCTGTGCTTCTTGGCAAGAAGAATTAGGGCCTAAGGTTGAATGGCCTGGCTTCTAGGGCCAGCTCCGGGAATTGGACCTCTGGGTCTCACAGGCCTGGGTATGAATTCATACCCAGCTTTTCCACTAGCTGGATGACTTCAGAAAACTTGTTTACTATGTTGAGCCTCATCTTCCTCATCTGTAAAATAGGGATAATGATAACATGTACCTTAGAAAATTGTGAGGATTAAATATTATATGCATAGGTCTTAAAAACCTTGTCTGGCACATTAGTACTCAGTAAATTTTATTAGTGTTTTTTTTTTTTTAAAGATTTTATTTATTTATTTGAGAGAGAGAGAATGAGAGAGAGCACATGAGAGGCGGGAGGGTCAGAGGGAGAAGCAGACTCCCCGCCGAGCAGGGAGCCCGATGCGGGGCTCAATCCCAGGACCCTGGGATCATGACCCGAGCCGAAGGCAGACGCTTAACGACTGAGCCACCCAGGCGCTCCATGCCTTTCTTTTCTTATTGACCCAAGAATAATGTGCCTTCCAGTCCTTAGGATTATTTAGCATCTCAGTTTTACTGTCTATTGCATGGAGCCTACATTTTTTTCCCCTTTTAGACCTTTAGTCATACTCCAGCATAGACTAGTTGCTGCATAGCTGTCATCAGGGGACTTCCCTTTACTGCCCTCCTAGTTTAGAGAGCTCTTCCCAAGATACCATATCTTCCTCTTTCCTTTGTTTTTCAATCTAGTTTTACTGGTACCCATCTTTCATGTGTTTTAAGCCTCGAGTTATTTTGGTCAATAAGAGATAGAAGCTTCTCTCTTGAGATTATATTGGGTGAGGGAACTGAAACCAAATAATGATCAAATAAATAAGAATATTTCAGGAAGTAATACATTCTAGGAAGAAATAACGGGAAACAGAAGATTGGGGATGGGGTGGTGTGGGGTGGCTAGAGCTGAGAGGACCGTAGATTATAGAGAAGTCAAAGAAGTAAACATGGACTTAGCCACATGAAAGCCACTGGCCACCTTGATAAGGTAATTTTGAGTGGCATTCAAAAGCTGGATGAGAGAACCCAGATGCAAAAAGGTCAATATACCAAACTAGTAAGTGGAAAAACCAGGATTTCAGCTAAGATCATTTCCCCCCTCTTCTGTGATATGTGGTGAACTGGGCTAAGGAATGTGGATTTGCTGGTGAAGGGTCGCAAGAACGGTGAAGATGTGGCAGGGGCCTGGGCGGCAGGATAGAGGTGGGCTTGAGTGCCAACTCCTCCTTAAGCCCTCCTTAGGCCCTGGACTATATACCAACATAGGCAGTAGGCAAAGGGTCTCGGAATGTCTTGCTTGCAACCGTTAGGCAGATTGGGTTATACTTTGTGACTTCTGCCTGGGAGAGTGGGGCCCAGCAGCCTATTTCCTCTTTCTGCCCCTCAACCCACAACTGCTGTACACGTTTAGGTTTGCAGGACCGTGATGAGGGGGCAGAGCCATGTCTCTTCTCTTGGAAAAGTCTGGGACCTCTGCTGTAGGGGCAGGCTGCTGTCCTGACGGCTGAAGGGTCCCTGGAGAGCCTTTCTTAGACAACAGTGGCAGTCCCAGGGGAGGATCTCAGCTGCATGGGGAGGGAAGGTAAAAAATGTTCTTCTAGATGCTCTTGACACTCCCCACCCCATTGTACCCTGGAGTACTGGCAGTTCCAGTTTTGTTTTGTTTTTTTTAAGATCTTATTCATTTATTTGAGAGAGAGTGAGAGCTAGAGAGAGCACACACAGAGGGAGAGGGAGAGAGAGAAGCAGACTCCCCACTGAGCAGGGAGCCTGATCCAGGGCTCGATCCCAGGACCCCAGGATCATGACCTGAGCCAAAGGCAGACGCTTAACCGACTGAACCACCAGGTGCCCCTGGGCTGGTCCAATTTGAAATTATTCTTATTTTGCAGCAGGCTGAGGACCTGGTTTTGGCTCGGGCAGCAAGGTGAAGAGGCCTTTGGGTTTCCAAGGGGAGTTGCTCCTGGGTAGAAGTGGGAGGGGAGGGTGCTAGTAGGCATTTGGGTGTTTTCTTCTCCATCCTTGAGAAGATTGTGTCATTCATTCATTCATTCTGCAAATAGTAGAGGGCCCGCTATGTGCAGGCCCTGTTATAGGTGCTGGCAGTACCATGAGCAAGAGAGACAAAACCCTTGCTCTCATGGAGATTTTTTTTCCAGGAGTGGGAAAAGGGAGACAACAAACAAACAAAATACTGTCCAATAGACTGAAGGCTCTGTAGTGAGTTAGAACAGAGCAGTGGAGTAGGGTAAAACTAGGAGGACCTCTCTGAGCTCAGACCCAACTGCAAGCAGGAGCCAGTCCTGGGAAGATCTATATGGAAAAGTGTTCCAGGCAGAGGGGGCAGCGAGCATGAAGTTCCTGAGGCGGGAAAGCAGCTGGGCAGTTTCGAGGAACTGATGAAGGCATCTGGGCCAGAGGCGGGCATGCCGATCACGTAGGAGCTTCGTAAGTCAAGATCAGGAGTTGAGATTTGGTTTCGTGGGATGCCAGTGGAGTGTTGTAAGCAGGGTGTGACTTGATCTGATTTGTCTTCATAAGTGATGAGCCTCGCTGCTGTCTGGTGAGTGGATGGCAGGGGGACAAAGTGACCGTGGGAGGCGAGTTAGCACTGCCTGTCGTTGGGGATGAGACGGTAGGGCTGGAAATGAGGCAGCACAGCACGGGGCCCCATGGTCTAAAAGAATCCATCTTCTCAGCAGCAGGTGGGTGATGGAGGGTCACTCGGTCCGTCCTGTGTGATAGGGAGCCATGGTCCTCCTGTGCCTGCCAGTAAGTGCTATTGCTGTGCATGTGCGGGCGTGGGTTGCAGTCTGAGTGTGGGGGCGGGGGCAGGCTGCAGAGGGGATGCTGGGGGATCTCTGACACGGGAAGTATCCAGATCTAAGTCTCAGGTGCTCCTGGCCACACGGAGCTGTCCCCAGCAAGAGCCCTGGCGCATTCAGCAGCCACAAGCTAATGAGTGGGCCAGTAGAGCCGGGGGGGGTGGAGGGGGGCGCTTGGTGTGGTGACCCCCTCCGTATTTGGGTCTGCACGCCCGGGCTCCCAGCCCTCATTATCAGAGGGCTGTGGTGGGAAGGGAGAGGGGCTGGCTGCTTAATTAGAGAGGCCTGGCACTTCTGATTGCTTAGGAGCTGAGTCAGCCAGCTTTTGGTTTGATTGGGAGTCCGTCTTCAGCAACCATGGGGGAGGCCAGAGAGGGCTGCCGGAGAACCAGCCTGAGCCCGGGATGCCGTGGTCACCGTGCAGGGGAAGCCGTCGCAATTTTTTTGGTCTCAGCCAAAATGTGTTCCATGGTGTGGACACAGAGGGGCCCACCTATGGAACAGCGGTCTCCATAGTGTGTGCTGAGTCCCTAGGGAAAAGGGACTCTTTCTACTTTGCTCAAAGTCCTTAGGGGAAGTCTAGCTTGTTGGGGGATCAGGCGTCCCACCTGAAGTAGGGAAGCACGGAGGGAAGGGGCCACGCTTGAACCTGATTCCTTGATTCCTGCCCCCAAGCAAGGCTCTGAGGAGGTGTGTCCTGCGGAAGTCAGCCCAGACCCACAGCCAGGGAGCTGGCAGGAACCCTGGGGCCACTCATCCTATCCTGAGGGCCCACCCTCATGACCTCATCTGGCCTTAGTCACGTCCCACAGACCCCCCTCCAAACACCATCCCAGTGGGGGGTAGGACTTTAACACATGAATTCGGAGGGAGCACTGTCAGTCCCTGGTACCTACTGAACAGAAGCTCTGGGGATGGGAGCATTGATCTGTGCTTAACAAACACTCCAGGGGAAGCTGATTCTCTTTGGTTCGAAAACCTCTGCTCTAAAATCCTAGCCCCAGGCCCGGCTCAGGCTCAGGCCAGGGTTGAAGGCCCTCTGCTCCCCTTGCCTTCCCCCCTACCTCCCCACCCCGACACCACACACACCCCAGCTCAGGGGCCCGCACCCTCCCCCAGGCCATCCTTGCTCTTGCAAACAGTGGACACCGAGGCCGTGGTCTTTCTTACCTTGCGATGTCCTTTAGGCTTTAGAAAGCTCTTTCACAAAACTCATCTTTTTGATCCTCGGGACAAAGCTGCAGGGAGAGCAGGGGTGGTGAAGCTGTTCCCCAGTCACAGCTGGAGAACAGGGGTTCATTTGAGGTCATGTGGCCTACTTGGGTCCCCCAGCCGGGTGGTGGGGAGCTGGGTCCCCCAGGGGTGTTCGCGGGGCCATGCTGGGCTTCCACTCTTTCAGGCCAAAGTAGTCACAGCATTTCCCTTCCTTGGAGAAGCAGGGCCATCTTTCTAAAGAATGCAGGAGAAGAAGCATATTCACAGGTTAAATATTGAGAACTTTCCTTTAAAATCAGGAATAAGGCAAGTTCTATGTATGTTTATCACTGCTTCTATCCAACATTGAACTAGCAGCCAGCCCAGTGCAATCAGGCAAGGAAAGAAATGTAGGATATACGGATTGGAGAAGCATAGCTAAAGCTGTCATTATCTGTGAATAACATCATTATGTAATGAGAAAGTCTGACAGAATCTAAATACAAATGGTTACAATTAGTAGGTGAATTTATTAGCAGGGTTGTTGCCATGAGTTTAACATATGTGTCAGAAAATCAGTATTTCCATACACCTGAGACAAAAATGAGAGAAAATAAAAAGTGTAGTTTAGGACAGTGGAGCCACTGATAGGCAGAGAATGGTCTTTTGAATAAATAATGCAAAGCTATTTGGATATTCATATGGAAAAAATGTATCTTGACTTACTTCATACTAGGCACAAAAGTCAACTCTAGATTGATTTCAGATTTATGTATTTATTTATTTTAGAAGATTTTATTTATT